CACATTTACATATGATCAAAGAAAGAAAGGAGCCAGGTGTAATGGAGCAAGCCTTTGCCAGCACTCAGGAAGGAGAGGCAGGAAGGTCACTGTGAGTCTGAGGAAGCCTGGTCTACACAGTGAGTTCCAGGACATCCAGAGCTACATAGAGAGACTCTGTCCCAAACAACAACAACACAAAAGAACAAAAAGAAGAGGAGACAAATTTGAAAGAAAGCAATGTGCAGTTGGTACGTGGGAAGGATAGGAGGGAGGAACAAGAGGGGAGAACTAATGTAATTATTATAATCCCCCCAAATAAGAAAATATATAACAAAAAAAACAGGAAGGAAATACAAGTTTGGGTTTCATATCTTCTCTCTCTCCTTCGCAAAATAGCTATATTCATTTAGCAATAATTAAGGGAGAGGCAGCAGAGTATGAACTTGTAGAGTGACTTCAAGTGACAGTCTAGCTGACCAGGCATACTTTCAAGTACATTTCTATTTTGGATGGGCAAGACAACTCTAAAGCCCCTTCTAACCCCCCAATTCCATCTTTTCAGTGGAACAGATATAGTGTGTATAAGAGAACTGACTATTTGGAAAATATATATATTATTGGCTTGGGAAATCTGGCATAATGAATGAAAATGGAATCCTAAGAAGCATGTTATTAACAAGGAAGCTGTGAATGACAGGAGAAAGGGATATGGAGATTGTGGAGAGGCCAGGGAATGTGCAGAGGCAGGAGAATAAAGACCAGAAGGACAAATGATGGGAGGTATGAATGGCTGGAACACAGCGGGGTCTTTACAGGTCTTCCAGGGCACACTGGGGCAGGTGGGCTAAGACAATGTTTGGCCTTTAACACAATAAAGAGTCCATAGCAAACAGAAAGACCTGGAATCCGAATTGATGCAACAATTATGGCCAAGGTATACTACAAACTCTGGGAAAAATAAACATCAAGCTGTGTGAGTACAGGAAGTGGTGGAACCCAGCAGCAGAAGATTGAGACAGGAAGTTTGGGGGTTGTGACCAATGGTAGAGGATGCCCCGGCAGGATATAGCATGTAAAATGGTTATTTACTTTCCTGGGGGCTGTTTCCTCTGGCAGTCAGCATGCTCTTCTTGATTCACACATATCTTACCACTCTAAGGCTAAGTAAGTCTCATTTTTCCCAGGCTACATAAAAATAATAAGATCTAAGAAAAGTATCAGCAGAGGGTTTGTGGAATTCCAGCAATCCCATGTCTCAATCCTGTTCTCTTTTTTAATCTGGCAGTAGTTACCACATTCTGTCATAAAGGATAACTTACCTTGTAATTTTTTTATGTGCCTCTCTCTACGGTAGAACCTCAGCTCCCCAATATCCACTAATTTTTGTTCACTTATATATCCTTAGTGCAGGTGACAATTTTAGATATATATTAAAAGAAGGGTATTTACTGCTACACCAGGTGATCATTGCCTGGCCCAATTGTCGTCAGACATCCCATCCAGCAACTGATAGAAACAGATGCAGAGATCCACAGCCAAACATTAGGCAGACCTCAGGGAATCCTGTGTAAGAGGTGATAGGGATAGGGGGAGGATTATAGGAGGCTGAGGGGCTAAGGACACCACAAGAAAACCACAGAATCAACTAACCTGGGCTCATAGTGGCTCACAGAGATAGAACCACTAGCCAGAGAACTTGCATGGGACTGACCTAGGTCCTCTACACACATGTTACAGTGGTGTAGATTGGTCTTCTTATGGGACTCATAACAGAGGGAGCAAGGGCTGTCCCAGACTCTGCTACCTGCTTCTGGGACCCCTTCCTCCTACTGGATTGCCTCGTCCAGTGTTAATAGGAGAGGGGGTGCCTAGTTTTACTGTAACACGACATGCCATGGCTGACTGATATATATGGAAGACCTACACTTTTCTGAAGAGAAAGGAGAAGGAGTAGATGGGGAAGGGACTGGGAAGAGAGGAGGAAGGTAGGAGGGGAAACTGATTGGGCTGGGGAAAATTTAAATTAACTAATAAAAAGTATTAAAAGGGGTATTTAAGTGAGAATGATAAATGAAAATAAGTGAGATCTGATTTTGTGCTTTATGAACAATTGAGATTCTTGGATTATGAAATTGTTTTTGTCTTGTTTTCCATTTTAGAGGGTATTTTGCCTCTAGAATGTTCACACAGGACTTTGGGTCACAGAAGGCATTTCACCAGTTCAAGGTTCTAGAGAACACCTCTTAGAAGGAGAAAACTGGCTGAACATCCCAGGGTACTTTCACATCCTTGACTGGTCACAGGCTTACTATGCAAACCCTATGGTCATTCACTCTGCTGTGATCATCATGTCATTGACAGGAAACTGAGACACAGAGTGAATGGCCACAGGGTTTACATAGTAAGCCTGTGACAAGGCAAGGATGTGAAGAAACACCCTGGGATGTTCAGCCAGTTTTCTCCTTCTAAGAAGTGTTCTCTAGATTGCACAAAGGACAGCAGAGTTTAGATACACGTTGAGCTGAGGATTGGGTTTGGAGGGATATATCTATCTACAACCTGACGTCTACTGAGGGAGAACATGTCCAGTGAAGTCATGGAAGCCTCCAAAGTAGCTTGGACAGTCGTTAAAAAGTCCAGCACAGAAGAAATAAGGGACCAAGAGAGAGCAGTGGAAAGCCCCAAACCACATCTTGCATTTTCCCAAAAGTTTGTGCTGGGCCAAGTGTTGTTCAATCGCTTTTCTTCAAATTGAAGCTATTAGGCCAATTATGTTCTTCTGGGTTCTTCTGCACCACATTGCAATCATTTGAATGCTGCAACTCATGCTAGCCATGATGAGCAACACTGATCTTAATCAGTGGTATGATGCGTTCTGTTACTGAGAAAACATGTGGTTTCTGGGCAAAAGTCATAAAGTAAATTTACACTTGACAGTAAACTCCTGAGAGGTAAAGAGGACATAAAGCTACTTTGGTATTGTTTTGATTCTTTCCAAAGAATTTAAGCAATGTTTTTCAAACACAGGGGACACACGTACAGTGACCCAACAAAAACTCCTTCCTTCTTTAGGCATGGTGCAGCCAAGAGGTAAGATGAGTCAGAATGGGTTGTTTTTTTTTTTTAACCTAAATTGGACAAGTTTCTAAAATATAGGCAACAAATACTTATGAAGATGTTCACCTCTGAAGAAAATTAAAACAACAGAATCCTTGTTCCCCAAAGTATGCCAGTTATTCCGTAGCGTATTTTCCAGAGTAACCCTGCATTCTCTCCGATTTTATAAACACTAGCAGAATATCCAAACATCTTTCTGCATCACCAGTGCCTGGGTCTCTTTAGAGCCACAGCTAACTGCCTGCCACCCATTACTGCTTGAGAATTCTGGGATGGAAATTTTCTTATTTGTTTGTTTTGTTTTTTTCCACTTTCCCATAAATATTGTTGGAAATATGGGATGTTAAAATAGAAACAGGTATGTCCATATACATTCAAAATGCTCACATGCTCTCGCATACACACTGACATGTAAAAATCTGGTATTAACCACAAAAATAGTGATGATCAAAATTGACTTTTTAATGCATTTCTAAGAAAGGGGATTGGCACAGAGAGCCTGGAGGGTGATTTCTAGCACTGTTTGAAACAGTTCCATTTCTCTTGGAGAACTGTTCTTCACTTATTTTCATGTAGTTACGCTTCATGGATGGTGTGAACATGTTATACAAGATTTAGCTACTTAGTCAGTACATAACCATTGAGTGCATGTTATGTTTACAGCCACATGTGAGAACAGGGCAGAGTACAGGGTAAAGCGTGGGCACTCAACTAATTATTGCTCATTTCTTTTCTACTGTCAGTTTCTCTACCTATCAGCATTCCTTTTTGAAGTTTTTAACTAACTAGACACCATCTTGTATTCAAACTGTTTTAAAATAAACTCATCACCTTCCCCTAAGATTGACTTTATATGTCTGTATATAAAAATGTCTCTGTCAATGACTCCCTATTTTCCAATATTCCAATACAGAAATTTTGGAATATTTCTCATCCCTTTATTCCCTTTATTTTCCACTTCTAAAGCTCTATCAAAACTTAATGATTCATAAGTTGACTGTGGATACACATTTATTTGATTCCAGTCACCCCTAGGGTAGCCTTGGGGCCTCATCTCTCTTTTTGGCTTGTTTTCACTTATTTATTTATTTGTTTTCATTTTGTTTCAAAACCGTGTTTCAAGTAGTTCAGGTGGGCTTTGAACTCCCTATATAGTGGCAAATGACCCTGGACTCCTGATCTCCCCATCTCCATGTCTCATACTAGGATTCCAGGCTGTCCAACCAGACCCTACAAAATCTCATCTTTTAAGTACTAAATTAGGGTCTTGCTTGCAGGTGGATTTCATAATTTGTAGGCAATCCAGTCAGATCTACATTAATTTCCTAAATTACATTTAATGAAACAACCTCCAGTGGTTTCCCCATGCTCTGCTTTTGGTTCTAAGAGCTGTTATTTGTCTTTGAAGGTCTACCTTTACTCACAAGGCTCCCCGGCTTGGGGTTCACTGTCATCTTTAGACAACACTTAGTATATCACCAAAGCACCAAAAAAAAAAAAAAACTAAGCCCCCTGCAAATAAAGTAATAGTAACTCTCTCTGGGCATCTCATCTCCTACCACTTCCTTCTTAATGAATTTCAGTCAACTATTCAAGTAACTCTAGAATAGGAACAATCCAGGAACACTTGTCAAAGCAACACAGTGAATGAATGCTAGAATAAGAAACTTCCTTGAGGTCATTCCAGTAATAAAACAGCAGAAATGTGTAACCACTTCCTCTAAAACTCCAAGGAATGTTGCTTCTTTAACTTCACGTCAGCCTCCATCACCACCCCACTAGAATACATTTTCTAGCACAAATGAGTAATTCAGTTAATGTTTCATTCATAAAACCAGCTGAAAATATTTTCCATTTCTTTGTGGAAAAGAACTGAACAACAATAGAGCCTGTATGCTTACCATTTTCCTTCTTCATTTTCGTATTGTTGAACAGTGTATCCAAACATGTCCTCCACTGGGCCACTGAAACTCATTGAATTTTTCACATCAACGTTGAAGGATATGCAGAAGCCTAGAATAACTTTGAGAGGGGAAAGGAAGTCCAGTTACACAAGGTTAATGGAGAACATATCGTGTTTGGGATATAGAAGGCATTCTTAGGGTTACCAATGAAAGCTGTGCTCTTATGGAAAAGAACAATTGAAACTCAAGAGAATGAGAACTCAAGCAAGGTTCTGAGAGGATGTTACTCGTTGAGCACCTACAGGCTGGCTTTTTTTTTAAATGTTTGGAAATTAGTATCTGTACCATTCCCAGAAGTAAAATTTCAGGATTGAGTGGGAGTCACAGAAATTAAAAATGACTAGTGAGTTTGCAGATACTTTCCCAGAAGTGATCCCTACAGTACAACGTGACCAGGGTGATTTTAAACAGCATCCTTTCCCCTCTGCAAGGTCTGGAAATGCAGGCAGTTGCATCTAAACCCCCCTGGCAAGAGCTTTCTCCATTCTGTTTCTGAAAGGAAATTGCCTTTCCTTTGCACTCAAAGGATTCCTTTCCTTTGGATGGTCTTTAGAGGATTGTTTCTACTCAGGGATGGCTTCCTAGGCAGGCCTGAGATAAGTTTTGCTTATCTTGGAGAAACAAGCAGTTGTTGGACCTTTGTACCAATACAAAAAAGCCTCTTTGCACCAGTGTTGACTGTGATAAACTCACAAACATTTTGGATTAAATTAGGTAGTATTCTCATTAGTCCATGCCTGGTACACATCACACACACAATGAGAGCTTATCTCTTTGATTTCTCTGTGATCCAAGTGAAAGACAAGTTTTACATGAAGGGTGACCATGTACAGAGGTTCTGAAATCACAAGGAGGGTACCAAATTCCTCATTTGGTCCTAGTTTGGAAGAATAGACTTATAAGTTTCAATATCCCCATCCTGAATGTAACCAACAACTCTTCTCAAAGATCACCACCTTTTACAATAGTACATTCCAAGGCATCTTCAGAGGCCATTAAAGTCAGTTCTCAAAACTAGATTCAACCACACAGATTCTGCAAACGTCTCTGTTCTATTCCTATAGACTGAAGACATTTAACACATCTAGTCTCTTGGCTTTTATTCACACTAAACTTTTTCCATAAATATGCTCTAAATCCAGATTACTCTAACTCACAACCTTTAAATTACATCAACAATAACAAGTATTTATTTGATGCACTGGATTTGAACTTAATTTAGACAAAATATTCCAGAAAAAAAAAAACCTTTCTTTCCACTCATAGATCTATCTATATAGTCTGTCTTGATCTTCTAATTCCTTAACCTCTTCTTTGATTTTTTTTTTTTAAAAATTCTTACCAAGATAACCATTAAATACTATTTATATTATTATCTATTGGAGTCCCCTCCCCCCCAGACTAGGAAAGTCTTAAAACTGAAGACAGTCTTACTCATCTTTTTATCCTTTGTAAAAATCTGGCACAATTCCTCTTACACAGATGGGCAGTAACATGTTTATAGTCTGAAAGATAACATGCTGGAGAGGGAAGGATGCCAGCTGTGGCTGGAGAGGCACTGGCAGCCATCTCATTCTAGCAAAGGAAGACTTTTTAATGCTCTAAGGTAAGGGGGAGATGGGACTTGGCAGTGAGAAGAAAATTTCTACCCAGGATTTGGGAGGGTCTCTAAGCATAGTAAGACACACAGGACAAATATGGTTGTGAGCTCACGAAGCAGTCCTCTCGGCTGGCATGAAGAAAGTAGACAAAGAGTAGGCAGCCAGGACAGGTCCTTTTATGTACATTTCCTCTTCATTCCTCAAAGGCGATGGAGCGCAGCTGGCTACCATCCCCAACATCCTCTTGTAGATACTGGGAGGTCATTTTAAACAGTGCTCGGCCCCTGCTCCAAGCTTCTAGTACATGCGCTTGACCTCTTCTTTCTAAAGTTTTGATGTTTTGAACAGTTTCAACAGATTTCTTTCATAGGAGACATACACAGAATATTGCCTCCACAGTGTGGTTTCTCAACCACGGCACTGCAGGCAGTTTTGTCATAAGGAGCTGTGCTGAAGGGTGCTTAGCAATATCCATGGCCCCTGTACACATGGTGCTAGCAGCATTCTGTGAGTTTTGACAATCAGCATTATCTCTAGACATGGCCAAAATCTTGTGGAGTCAAAATTATCCATAACTGAAAGCAACTTTTCAAGAGATACAAGGACCAGAGAACTACTACCGACTGTACACCAGCTGTGGCTCACAGATCACTGGATGTGTCGCCCAAGGAAAGTGAGCATCACCCAGGGGATTGTGAATCTCAGGCTCCAGCCAGGTTTCAAGAATCAAATCTCCATGGGATTGCATCCTCTTAAGGTTTAAGAAGCATGTCTATGTGACATGTTGCTTCTTTTTCACTATGTCTACCCAGGTAGCAGAATTGATCTACATTCAAATGACTTCCCTTTAGACAAAATGGGAAATGTATTATTATTTTTTTTCTGTCAGGGTCAGTTCCATTTGTTTGAAGGATTTCTTTATTCAGCACATTATCATTTTGTTTGTTTGTTTTTGTTTGTTTTTTAATTCTCTCTTAAAGGCCACTTGAGTGTTTGGTGTTCTTGGGTCTGTCTATTCTACATGTTGCATGGAATGTCCAAGGGTGGGTGCTGCATTTTTTTTTCATTTCCTGTCCTTAGAATTCTAGAGGCAATTTGCTCAAAGCGATAGTAAATCTGTCTCTTTTATGTTTTCTGAAGCACTAAGGAGCATGTAGCACAGGAGATGACATTTTTTTTTAAAAAAGTAGTTTACAACTTGTCCTTTTGATTTAAAGGAGTCAGTAAACAGTAAAAGCAGTGTCTCATAACTCTTAGTTCAATGTTCATTTTATTAGAGTAGATTTTCTTGGGACTTTATGTTCTAGAAGTAAGACAAAAATGGCACTTATCTGAATGAAAGGAAAAAAAAACAGACAAACAAAAATCATAAAACAAAACATAACAGTCTGAAAGTCTTGAGAGTCCAGATAAGGAAGATATTGAAAGTAACTGGAAATGAATACAGTGTAGAGTCAGATGTCTAAAGGAAACACTACTCTGACATGTACCCCTGAGAAGTCTTTCTCTACTAACAACTATACCATGTGCCATGTGTTGTTCCTCATTTTTTATCCCACTAAACTTATCAACAGTCATGCCGATACCATTCTCATCAGCATCATGTGAATGAGTGAGAGCTTTGGGAGCCAAAAATAGTCCTCATGTCTCCATGGGATTCCATAATATAAAGCATCAGTCACCGTTCACATTGATTCAGTTTTTCTCCCTAAAACCAGAAAAAAAAACCCCTAGTGACAAATAACTCAAGGCCAGCTTTAGAAGAAAGTGCCTTCTCATTAGCAAGGATGAGTTTGTGTAGTTCTGTGTCCTCAGATGGCAGTTTGAGGAGGAAACTGTTCTTGGCGGCAACTGGCTGAGAAGGATGTTGGGGACGCTGGTATGGGAAAGTAGTCATAGCAACAGAACTCGGACCAAGCTTCTTGAAGGACTTCATGAAAACATATGTCTGTAGAGAAAAGGAATGAAGGAGTCTGCTCCTTTTCAAGTATGGCCATATGTTATGTGCACAGTAGTAAAAAGCAGACGAGAAAGATGAGGTGGTTGATGCTGGAGGTTGTATTTTATAAATTAAATCATTCTTGCTCATTTTCCCCCACCAGAGTGAAATTTAGTATGCCAGGCAATAAATGAGAGAAAGAGATACATAGCTTCCAGGTCTGTGTTTATTTGCTCCAAAATACTGTTTTTCATAGAAATAACATATTAAGTCATTGGCTAGGTAGGTTAGTAGTTATTGCTTTCTTTTTGTGTATTTGGAAATTAAACCTCAGAAAGGTTGAGAGATGTGTCTAGGCTGAATGTATTAACAGCAGACAGAGGATGCCAACATGGATCTCTTCAGGTCCAATCATGGACTTTCTGTAACAAACTCTAGACTGTCTTCATTTCCAGAATGGTTAAACAAATTGGTCAGATTGATAAGGATGAAAATATAACCCACCTAAGAACAAAACTCAACTGGCCCATGCAAGTTTTTAACCCTGTATAGTTTTGGAATATTTGAGGGGTGACTTGGGGGAAAAAAAAGCTGAATGAAGGTAGAAAAATATGAGCTTCTTTTGAGTCTGTGGAGTCAGATGGAGGTCTCTCTCTCTCTCTCTCTCTTTCACACACACACACACACACACACACACACACACACACACACACACACACACACACACACATTCCCGATTCCAAGAAGAGTTACTTCGGCCTGTGTGTTTGCTGCTTAAATAAGCAACTCTGGGCCTGACCATCTGGCCTAGCAACACCGCTCTAGTCATATCCAGACGGGAATATGTAATAGCTAATGGAAATTTCTACCTTGCAAATTCTGAGCCCAAGGCAAGTGAGTATCAAGTAAGTGGTGGTGAAGGAGATGTTTTATAATTCCATTGCTTTCCTTTAATAACTTCTCATGTATGTCTATCCAACCTAGCAACAGGAGAACTCATAATTAACATTCTTTCCAATCTAAAGATTGAAATGATGACATATAAAATGAAAGATCATAGTTAAAGTGTTCAGTAAATTGATGACTTCCAGAATAAGTTCCTTCCTGTCTGTTATGTATAACAAACTTGATGGTATCAATGCTTTGTCTCTGAAATTTTAATTAATTTACTCCTCATGGATTACATAATTGGATCTCAATTTTGAGGTACATGGTTGCCAAAAAGAATAAGAACTTGACTGAAATGGTAACAAGATCTGGCCAAAACAGCTATAGAATAACATCGTTCCCATTGATCTGAAAGTTGAAAAGATAATTTTTTGTAGCTTTTTGGTCATGAAAATGATCCAAAAGCCTCCATTAGCAAAGATATAGAAAATCAATAATGAAAACATGACCATAATAGAGCTTGATCAGAGAGTACAGAAAGAAAGAAGGTAGCTGGATATGACATCCTAACTTCAAACACAGAAAACCCATACTTGCCATACAAAGAAATATGTCTAATTTGTGTTCTTC